TCATCAGCATCATCATCATCATCGTCATCCTCGTCCTCATCATCATCATAATCGCAAACGTAATCAGCATCATTATCATCATCCGCAGCATCCTCATCCTCATCCTCACCATCATCATCAACATCGTCATCAACAGCACCAGCACCAGCACCACCACAAGCACCACAATGACCATTATCATCATCACCACCACCACCACCACCACCATCATCATGACCATGATCATCATCATCATCATCATCATCATCATAATCATCATCATCGCACTCAACCTGATCCTAACTCTCATCTTCATCATTACCCCAATCCTCCTCATCTGGATCATCATCATCATCATCATCATAAGCATCGTCATTATCATCATAATCCTCATCCGCATCTTCATCCTTACCATCCTCATCATCATCCTCATCACCATTGTCATCATCCTAATCCTCATCATCATCACCACCATCATAATCAGAATCATCATCAGTATCATCAACATCATCATCAGCAGCATCATCATCGTCGTCATCATCGTACTCAGCATCATCCCCACTCATCCTGATCATCATGATCCCCGTCATCCTCATCCTGATCATCATCCTCGTCCTCATCATCATCCTCACCCTCATCATTATTCTCATCACCATCCTCCTCAACATCCTCCTCACCCTCTTTCGGGAGTGCACCTGGGGACGCGCGCCATGGGCTCCACGAGCTTCGCAGCGAGACCGCCAGGGAGCTCCAGAGTCTTAGATCCATCGAGGTCCTCACACTTCAGGGCCTTGGTCTCTCGGGGAACACTACGTGTGGCCGAGCCCCCAACTGCAGGGAGGGGCTGGACAGGGGAGGCCAGGCGTACCCCACCGGGGCACCCAGGTGGGCCAAGTACCCCCGTGCTGCAGCGAGGAGCCAAAGGAGGAGAGAGGGGGGGGAAGGAGCGCGAAAAAAAGCGGGCGGGAGAGGGGTACCTCCGACTGGAGAAGCAAGAGAGCGAGGGGATAGGTAAGGGGGAACCTCCCCCCGCCCCCTTCGCTGGGTCTCCCGTGGCGCGGCCTCCCCCCCTAGAAAAGGGCGGGGGGCCGAGAGGCCCAGAGGCCGCGCAGTGAAGCGATGCGGCGACGGACGTCCAGGACAGGGAGGAAGCACCGGAACCACCAGCAGGGGTCCCCTCCCGTCTGGAGCCGCCCCTGGGAGCGAAGTTGGGGGGGAGAGGGCCACAGGGCAGCACTGGCTCTGAAGGACACTGACCGGCGAATCGTCCACGGTAGCGTGGAGGCGCCTTCCTGGGCGGGGTGTCACCCGGGCCCCGATCGGCGATGAGCAGGCGATTGGAGGTCGATGCTTCCCCACTGGGCCGATCCTTGACTCTGTTCAACACCCCTGAGAAATACAAGGGAGGTGTTGATACGCGCCCACGAAGTGCGCGGTTTGGCCAGGCTTGGCCAGGCACCCCACAGAAGAATGTTCCCAGACATTTGACGATGTCAGCGAGCCAAAAGAAGTCTCGACCCGTTCCGTCCTGGATCTATTTCTGATGGTCCTGGGGCCGCACTCTGGATGCCAAATAAAAAACAATCCGCCGGATGTCTGGGCCGTTTGCCCCCAAGACCTGGGCATCCCGCGACCTCCCTGCGTAGGTTCTCCTCGCCAGCGATCGCCGCCGCGGACTCTGCCCAGAGGAGCGAGCAGTTCGGGAGCGGCCCGGCGGGGTCCAGGCACAGGAGAGGGGGGAGGCCTCAGCCGAAATGGCAACGGCTGGGACAAGGGGTGCGTATGCCAGACGAGCAAGGAGATACGCCTGTCATCCTCAAACTAACCATCCGCCTACAACTCCGCCTTCACCCTCATTCTCCGCCTCCCTCCAGAGATCTCGGCCTCATTCTCCTGCTCCTCCTCCTCCTCCTCCTCCTCCTCCTCCTCCTCCTCCTCCTCCTCCTCCTCCTCCTCCTCCTCCTCTCCTCCTCCTCCCCCTCCTCCTCCTCCTCCTCCTCCTCCTCCTCCTCCTCCTCCTCCTCCCATCCTCCGCCTCCTCCGCCTCCTCCTCCTCCTCCTCTCCTTCTTCTCTTTACTATTGTTATACGTTTATTAATATTCATAGTATTGGTATCCGTAATGTTCTTATTACGGAAAGTATTAATACTACTATCAGTAGTATTATTATCATTATTATTATTATTATTATTATTATTATTATTAAAATTATTATCATTATTACTAATATTAGTATTTTCAGTATTATTGTTATTAGTATTATTAATATTATTAATATAATTTATATTATGACTACTACTACTACTATTATTATTAGTAGTAGTAGTAGTAGTATTAGTTGTATTATTAGTATTATTATTAGTAGTATGATTGTTAATGTTAATGTGAATAATAATATTACTAATATTACTATGATTATTACTATTATCATTATTATTAGTAGTAGCATTAATCACAACCATGTTAGTAGTATTATTAGTAGTATAATTATTAGTGGCAGTATTATAAATATTAAGAATAC